TGTCATTTCTCGTAGATATCATAGTGTAGGGTTTATATGTATATAAAGCGGTTACTGAAATATCTCCACCATCTGTTTCCAGTAAAAACAACATTAACGCTGTTATGTAATGCTTACAAACGTCCGCAGCAGTTTTCATCATCTCATCCACCTATTATATGAGTTTATATTGTTGTTTATATCATATCATACTTGCACAGCTGTGTTGTTTCACAATTTTGAAGCAGTCCCTGGGCTTGTTAAAAACGGTTTGCTTATTATTGAAACTAATTTTTGATTGAATATAATAAAAAAAAGTAGGTGGTTACCATGCAACTATGACCGAATCCCATTTTACTTATTTCTTTCACCTATTCTCAATTGTTGATGAAAAAATTGGATTTTGCCAAATTCGTATGTAAAATAAATGGCTTGCCCAATGATGAAATAAGGACTTTTGAGAACGAAAAATGGTTTGTAACTTTAATGTAGCCATTCATATCTGAATAAAAAATATTAAATGATCTATGGGATATCGTTGATGTTCGTACGTTATGCTGGTAGTGCATATGACATAGTAAGTTAAACATTGAGTGTCTGAGTTTTCTTCATTTTCTGCATTTAGCAGAAATTAGGATCATGGGATATATACTGTGTATAAACAGACGAAATATCTATTGTTTTGAAACACTAGGTCTTCTATATTTTTAAAGATATTTATTTCATAGTCAAAATGTTATTCTAATATCAAAGTGATGTGGTTTATTTGAAAATATAAAGTGTCAGATACAGCAAAATCGAAACAAATTGTAATATTTTGAATTTCACACATTTGCTTTGCTTGTGCTTTGTTTTACGAATATCAATGTTATCCGAAATTGATGGTGTGATGATATGGCAGGCATGTGATTGGTGCTTCAGACTGACATAACTTTGGTAGGGACGGTATATCTACGTTAAACTATCATACACCTCGCACATGTAATACATAATTCAACACATTCGTGGTGCTTAGTAGGTTATTAGTACCCATGGGGTTTTATGATGTCTGATTACATGTTTCTGTTCTTTCTCATTTACATTAACATGGTCAATAGACAGGGTATATTGAAAATTCTTGTAGTCGTTAAGTGTGAAAACAGGCCAATGGGTTTCTTACGTGATAAATAATGCACAGCTACTAGTACTTTGAAGTTGAAGTAAAGAATAACAAACAGTAGATAGCGACATGCCAACAGTTTTTTCATTCTAACTCAAATTCGATGAGATTTGGGTAAAAAACAAAAAAGATTTAAATGGCGACCCCTGAAAAAGTACAAGGTTGATAAGAACAGAAAAAGTGCATCAAGAATAGGAACATTTTCGTGAAGAAAAAAGTAAAAACCGATACAGCTGGTATATATCGTGTTAGTGCACGGTTTATCTACACATAATTAAAATCCCTTTTTAATATCATCAGCAAGCATTCTGATCATATCAATTAAATATGGCTTAGTTGTCTACTGTAGTAATGATGTTTAGATATTTTTTGGCGTGTTTCATCAATAATTTGCTCTGTTTAAGATATCCACCTGACTGACGAGCTAATTATAATACATATTATAACCTATAATTGGGACTGGTGAATGCTTTTCAGGTACCAAGAGATTAGGGGAAACATGTTCTGTCACGCATTTTGCCTATAGGTACTCTCGTCTTCCCGATGGCAAAAAGGCAGTATAATGTTAATGTAGGCTTCACTGGTTCTACATCACTACAACTGTTTGTGGAGTCTTTATGTTGTCTGCATGACAAGCGTACCATTGGGAGATAAATAATTAATTATATATATTTACTTATATTTACAGGTAAAATGTTGGCAAGCATGCCTCACTATCTAAATTACCTTATCTTTGTGGCATATGCATTCTTGTCGTAGCAATATGGGTGGGCCATATGGGAAAATAATTGCTGAACAGATTGTTTATACAATTGTTGAGAGCGGAAACTGGAATTCTAAGAAAGATTTTATCATCTGTAAGCAACTTTAAGCCTTAAATTTTCACACTACGAACGGAAAAGTAGAGAAGAATTAAAAGGAAGACAAAATCATAAAAATGATCCAATTTCTGGTTGACAATATCTTCGTCGACGTAAGTGGTATGATCTGGCAACAGACCTTTGGTATACATATTTACCAAAGGGACCTAACCGCGCCTCTCTGCTGGCTAATATATCTGTGTTCATACGAGGCTGAATTTATCGAAGAGCTTATAAAATCAGGTAACAAAGACCTGTGCAAATTCCTTAATTTCTCTTTCTAAAAAGTACATCATTTTAATTAATTTATCTTAGTAATTTTCGCGCTGATAATATTGTTTTAAAATATGATAAGCTAATTCAGTTTCTGTATCCTGTTTACATACTAGCAAAAGTTATGGAAGCGCTGTTTTTTCTTTGCTGTTATATGCCCAATTCAATATTGCTCTTAAGTTCGATAACACCAACTTCAAAAAATGTTTAGAGTTTATTGATATGGTCTTGCCTTTGAGATGTTGGTATTTTTTACATGAATTAACAAGATAAGTTTTCTTCAGTTTTCTTCAGGCCCATCGTTTATGCCAATTAGATATATATGTAAATCAAGAATACGACACAACATCGACCGCTTTCAAAATTACGTCAATCTTTTACTGTAACAAAACCAGCAGGGAAAGTTTAACACCAAGCTGTTTGATATGCATAATGCTTTCAATTTTCCTATTTTGCATTTCCATTTCTGGAAAGCAAACATTCTGCATGCCCAACTATATTATGTCACAGTTTATTTATTCAATTGCTTGCTACATATATCACGACTGTTGTGCAAGATGTCTTTAGCTGACAGGCTGATCTAAAAATAAGCAGGATTTCGAGAGTTTGACAAACATCGCACGAAAGACACCTTTTTATGCAAATGCATGCGATTTATTTTCATTTCAACTTAAGATCTAAATGACAAATATAATTGGGCAACAGAAATAGCCATTGAAAGCCTCCAATAACGAACAAGTACACAGACAGATCAATCAAACGGTCAGTAGAATATGTTTATAAATACAAGGCGAATTCCTATATGATAATAAAGGTTGAAACTCGTGCAATTTACACTACATTCTTGCTTTGTGAATATTAGTTCCGTATATCACATGTTCTAATGTTACATGAACATCATAGAAAACTGACTGCTATCAGAATTTTAAACCAGTCTAAAATTCGATGAAATCAGGTCGAAATATAGACAGGATTTGACACAGATACTCATTAAAACTCGAGTATTCATACAGACATCAACGTGTATGATATATAGACAATCCTATTGAAGGAAATTGACAGTGTATTGATTCAGATCCATACTTTATACAAAGAAATGACGATGGTATCCTATGGAGACGAAACTTTCGTTTTATGTTAAACAATAGATCAGATTTAGATATCGATATTGCATAGGTTTAGGGCTAAGAGGGTCTGACTTAACATGATGTATGTTACCACAAAAGACACCAGGTGCTACATGAATGTAAATCATATAAAAACATCATGTCTATTCTCTGTTTTCCATACAGAATAGGCAGTAATTTTTTGGTACTTAGTGAAAAATAATTCAGGGAACCTAACACATATTTAACAAGCGACAAACAAAGGAATGGCAACTTTAAATTTAGAATTATGTAGAGTATAGCTAAAAATCGATTTACCTATAAAACACGGGTTTGTTTGTCTTTCTCGAATAATGATACTAGGTCCATAACACTTTGGAATAGAGGCGACTGAGTAAATCACAATTGGTTACATTTGTCAACATTTATAAGGGTAGGATTACTTGCCCCTATCAAATAAATTTCATAATTTCTATATTTCGGGTACTAACGTCAATTATCAGAGTCTACCACATGCACTCTAAAAGATTTGTACCAGAGACACACAAAAGAACGACACCTTTCAATACAAATTTAGAATTGGATACAGCAGAGACAAATAATGAACCAAACTGCAGCATCCTTGTAGGACTCATCAGTGATCTGTTTTAAAGTTAAGTTGTTAACATATCTGAAAATTCTGAAATTTTGTCAGAGTTGTTAACATTTTGGCATGAACACAATAGTTAATATACACCTGTTCTATATCACGGAAAAGGAAACAAATCCTTTGATTTCTATTAGTACATTAACACAGAAATAACTGATGGATCAGCATTTAATCAATTGATATAATATCTATAAATAACCTGGATCATAAATAAATAAGCATTGTCAGCTGAAATTTATCTACGAATAATTACATATACACAATGTATATAATGAATTTCTGAGTTTTTTCATACCAGTGTACGTGTGCTCCATTTTGTTTGTTTGTTTGTTTTGTTTTTTTTTTTTTTTTTGTTTTTTGGATAAATTACATACAAACATAGTCATCCACAATATCAGAGACCTTTTTTCGTCATCAACATTTTCCACCAGTATTAACAGTTCGAAAAACTTTGTATACTAGCACTAAAAATAATTTAAATTAAGAATTTTCGAAAATCAATTACATTTCAGCTCTTTGAGGCTAAGAACTAGAATGAAAAACCTCAGCTGTACATTACACTTCCTATTAACGAAAAATACATTTCTCGTGCAGCTCGTTTTCCCTCATCAATATTCATGAGTTATCTTACACTCGTAACAAACAGATACGTATTTCAAGTTTTACTAAGCATCGCATGAGATTTTAAGCTTTTGCGACAAAGAAAATTACTAATAGAATATCCTTGAGCTATCAGGTCTAAAACTGGTCGATTATAGACATGTTCATTTTGTAACATATGATAATTGTTGTGAATATATAGGAATCATTATATAACACTGATAAAGATAATCGTGTGACATTTACGCCTGAAGATAACCTGTTACGTCAGAGTCGTTACAGTAATTAGCGTGTCAAATTGTTGCTCCACAGTAAATATCATAATTTACGCACGAGATTCGTCATTTATGTTTGCTTATTTGCTATTTTTTCAGACAAGATGTCCTCAATCACCTCCTCAACACTTCTCGGTACGATTCGAGTATAGCTCCAAACTTTGAGCATGGTAAGTAAAAGTATTAGGATTGTTTTAAAATTGCATGTTGGTAAATAATTTCAGGTTCCCCCAGGAGTAGTCCGTGAATTTAAGCACGATAGGTAGACAATGCGGGGTTTTCCTTGAGTAGTTCGAGAATTTAAGCACGATAGGTTGACAATGCGGGGTTTTCCACGAGTAGTTCGAGAATTTAAGCATGATAGGAAGACAATGCGAGATTTTCCCAGGAGTAGTCCGAGAATGTAAGCACGATAAGTTGACAATGCGGGGTTTTCCTGGAGTAGTACGAGAATTTAAGCACGATAGGTAGACAATGCGGGGTTTTCCTGGAGTAGTTCGAGAATTTAAGCACGATAGGTTGACAATGCGGGGTTTTCCACGAGTAGTTCGAGAATTTAAGCATGATAGGAAGACAATGCGAGATTTTCCCAGGAGTAGTCCGAGAATGTAAGCACGATAAGTTGACAATGCGGGGTTTTCCTGGAGTAGTACGAGAATTTAAGCACGATAGGTAGACAATGCGGGGTTTTCCTGGAGTAGTTCGAGAATTTAAGCACGATAGGTTGACAATGCGGGGTTTTCCACGAGTAGTTCGAGAATTTAAGCATGATAGGAAGACAATGCGAGATTTTCCCAGGATTAGTTCCAATTCTCAGGAGCGGCCCTTAGTTAATATGAATTATGTAACCATGCTATGTTTTCTTAGAAGCAGCACGGAAGTTTAAGCAGGGTAGGTAAACAATGCGAGTTTTCTTTTTTCAGAAGTAGTCTGAAATTTTAAACACGATGGTTAAACAATGTCAGGTTTTGTTAGGAGCTGCAGAAAGTTTAAGCACGGTGTGTATGTACAATGTTGTTTCCAAATGAGAGACCCGTACATTCAAGCACAGCATTGGGCAGGGAACTGAAGAACGATGAATACTAAGAATGCATGATTCTATAACCTTAAGTACCGTGTACTTAACGATATCTTAGATTAGAATACAGTCGAAGCATTGAGCATATTTAATAAACACTAATAATCAATTCGCGTTCTGCCAAACAAGAATAACATCAATATTTATGCGGGAGGAGAAATATTTTATCTCTCAATCATAGGTTTTTACCATGGTTAAAACATCGTAACATAACAATTTATTATTTAAACACCATTTTTTTTTTATCACAGCAAGTAATAATTACATCACGACAGACACAACTGTAACACAGGTGTTCAATAGACGTAGGTCAATGAAATTAATAGGGAAGTTTTCACGGTTGTCATAGTGATCCCAATGAGAAATATTTAATTTCCTTGTGCGATATGGAGCCGGAAATGTATTATGCTCATTAGTTTGCCTGTTGGTTTCGTTGTGACATTACTTACTTGGATTGACTCATGGTGTATTCGATGAAGCTTACTCTTCCGTAACACATGGTCTTATTCTCCTTGTTCTATTTCAGGAGTCCCAGTGTAAATCTTTTGATTATAATTTACCAGAGTTGCATTGAATTAGAGTTTGGATAATGGTTATGTTCGCATGTTTGTATGTTTTCTTTGTGGTATTGCGCACCGTATGCAGATAAATATCAATTATTTTACGAAAGTATTTCTTCAATATAGTAATTATTCTTAACCCGGTGTTAAAATACGAAAAAGAAAAAAAAATTTTTTATATTTGGATCAACATGAATCGTCGCCGTCGACATTGACATTTTTTTTGTTGTTGTTGTAAAAGAATGCACCAAGTAGCTGCCTTTTGAGTTCAGTTGGTGTCGTTCAGTGTTATATCGATTTCATAAGATGAGATCATAAAATTTTATTTGATCAATATTGCCGTAAAAATGAACCATTTTTTTTCTATTTGAATATCGTTTATCAGGAGACCAGGTGTTGTTAATGATGTAGTTTGAATGACTATAACATTATGATTCACTATTAAACCGAATATAGCTTGGAAACTGAAAGTTTTTTCATTAGCATGGATCAACAGATAAACAGTAGAGAGTCAGGTTAAAGCTTTTTCAGTTTGTGTTTGTCTCATGCTGTAAAGATATTTCTCCCGCGGTGTTTGAGAAATGCATATTAATTTTAAAACATTATATCTTGTTTAGTAGTACGTTTTGGAGTAATTTTGATGATAGACTGGCATTCTGTTGATGATTGTTTCCGTCATATATAGAACTGCTTTACAATCAACTCATAATGTCATGTGTCGGTCAACTTTTGTTGACTTATATATTCCGTGGTGTTTTCTGGTGTATCGTCACATGGATAATTTTTCATGTATAAACTTTGGACGAATTTGCCATACAACCAGGATGGTTACAGTTAAGGAAGCAACATTTCTTTCAAGACAGCTACGAACTGTTTGTATGTAGAATGAAATGATAGCAATTATTCATTCATGAAATATGTTATCAGTAAGGCTGATCATACAAATATCCCATGTATAGAATCATACTGCATTAGATATATTTTTAACCCTTACTTTTGGTTCATTCAGTTTATCCACGAATAAAACTGTTTTGTATGCAGTGCTATTATTCATCAATTGTTTTATGTCTACATTGTGTATCTACATTGTGTATAATTGTTCCTACAGATGGTATAAAACAAAATCAGCTATGGCACAAAATAACCAAGAGTTTCCATGAAAACATATAAGTACTATAAAGAACGGTAAATATAGGTCAACAATCTATTGGTTACGAGAATAAAACACGTTCGGTAAATGAGGCTGTTTGATATCAGCAATTCAAGCGCTTAGAGTACTTTAGATTACATTGTTGAAGTGTTGGAACTGATCTTGAAATGCCAATCAATGGCAGGATATTTGTGCAACGTGTTTCATTACATCACTTCAACATTTTGTTCAAGATGAAGATAAGATCACCAGTTTAGCAGATGGTATTCCCGACGAGGATATTATTGTGTCACGCGCACATGACGACCTTTCATTTGGGACCTATATCGGCAGTACCTAACAGACTCCAATGTCCTGATCTGGTCTTGCTTAGGGCCAATAAGTGGTTATCGATTGGTCCCTCGTGGTATGTGTACAGTAGTTTTATCGGGAGGTCGAACAGCCAGCAACTGACTAATATTACAATAATATATACGTTACAAAGTAATGTGATTGGAATATATGTCGATATTCACATTTCATTACGACAAGTTCATCGTAATACAATCAGGAAGAGTATTGAAGTCGTTAATAATGATCATATCAATTGAAATACCTAACACAATTCGGTATAATGGCTGTATACTTTCCGGCTTTTAAAATTGCATTGCTTTTTATGATCCCTAAGGACGGTTGAGTGATTTTGTTATAGATTTCTGACCTTGACCTTCGCTCTGCTAGTATTTTCAGTTTCTCGCCTGACCCGATTTGTCACAAACTAATCTACATCCATGACGAATGAAGTATGACCTAGAAACGTAAGTGACAATCTGTGATGTTGTTACGGGGCCTGATCATCACCTTATATTCCCAGGACAGGATGACCATGATTGATAGCCAATTCCGGTCAATTGGGCGTTAGTGAAACACGATTTTTCAGTAACTGAAGCACTTCTCTATCAAGCAGACAGATAAAGTGAAACCACAGAGTACGTGTTAATGTCCACAGGATAAGCCTGATGTCGTTATCCAAGGGTGAAAATAAGGCACCAAATGCAATTTACAAAATGACGACGTGGCAAACTCCATTTGTATAGTCATCGACTAGCAGTTAAGTACCTTTCCCTTGTGATTTGGTAATATCTTATTTTTTTCAGATTATCCTCGAAATCATTTATTTTTCGTGGGAATATTTTTCTTCTCTTCCATATAATATTTCAGGGATGTAGTGAAATCGACATCCTCATCTATGAAGAAAATCTAGGTTCCGCTATAACGAGAAAAGCAGCTTGACATATTTTTGCATTTATATTAAGTTGGGAGTAAAATATACGTCTTTTAGACTACAGGAAGTTAAATATACACTTAGTCCTCAGATAAGCTAGTATTCTCATTTCTGTCAATGCAGTGCTGTTGGTAATTATTTGGAAGTTCACTCAACCATAACATTCGAGTCATTGTTATTTTATGGCACATGTTTGTATCCAATTACTTTTAAAGTCTGAATAATTAGAAATAACGCTTCACAACTTTACTGAAAGTAGGATAGTGCACATAAGCACTTCCAGTTTCTGCAAGCAATCTGACAAACAGAAAAGAAAAAAACACCAATAATTGAGGATGCATCTTTCGTTATTAAACATAAATTTTCATCGACTGTTAACTGTTATCTCTTTCTTTTGATTGTGATTGCCTTTAGTAATTGAACTGAATTTGTAATAGTGACTGCTGAAATGGCGTTAAGTATCTTTTAAGAGCGAACGCAGCGAGCGTTTTATGGTTTCATGTGTGGAAATTTAAATTGATAGAAAACAAGAGGCCAATAAAACTAATAAACAGCTTAGGGCATCTGACTAACTGGAAATTTTGTGCTGCATGGACGGTAAACATCTGACTTGTCAAGATGTTAAAGAATATCCAGGTTAACAAAATACCCCCTCTCGCATGCTTGTTGAAATTCAGACATATAACCAAAATGTTCAAATATTTAAAACAAAATTAACAGGTATTTGTTTCAAAGAACTTGATCACCAACCTGTGGTGCTTGTATGTCGCAGCTGATTTAGTATTCAGCGATTTTCGTCCTCAACAAACACATAAAGCTGGGTTTCAAGAAATGCAAGATGATGAAAATTATTGGGAAAGATGATGCTGGACGTGTAGGATACTGGTAAATTGGTTCCGTTGCGGTATAATTTGTTTTATATGAGAATGTAACAATGCTTCTTTGTATTGACCAAGGATTACATACCGAGTATAAAAGCAAAACGACGTTAACTCTTCCGGAAAATCTGGTCAAATTCTCCTTGTAGTTTTTGAGGGAGACTCCGAGTAAATCTACGTTTTGATTACATTTTGTAATATTTAATTTGTGTTTGATTATGGTTATATTGACATGATGATCTTTTTATTGTTATTTTGCCGAATCAGGTTCATAATATATTCGATTTCCTGCTTATCTAAGTGTCGGTTTGAAGAGCAGGTTATATCAAAATTGCAGCAGTATGACAGGTTTATAGGTACCAAGCGTATCTAACATTAAATGTGGAGTCAGATTTACAAATATCGATGTATCGACAGAAGATGAATGGAGAAACACAAAAGCATTGACTTTAGGTTTTTAATGTTAGTTAAATTTACATTTTATGGTATTGAACACACAGTAGGTTCTGCTGCAAATTATTGTCTCAAACATATATCAAAATATTACCATTTTAAAATAATTCAGCAATTTTAAACATGAAAATTGTTAAAGTTGAAATAATTTTAAAAACTTACCAAATACATTCATTAAAAATTTGAATTCCGTAATGTCAAAAACTTCATTTACCAATTTACTTGGAACTTACATGTCACAGTTAATTCAATATCCAAGGGTCTGTTTTCAAAACTTTCAGCATTAAGGACCGCTTCAACTCGATAACAAAAACATAAATTCAGCTGTGGAGAATTTACAACTTCAATTAATTTCAGGACGACAAAAAGATGCAAGCATGCAAAACAAAAAGCGTCAGAGAATACATCAAAGAGTTGAATGCTTTCGTGAAATTAAAGTTATAGGACTCGAAGAGGGAAGGGAAAAGATGTTTCCGCTAGATTAACAACCGTCAAAGCTTTAAAATGGACAGAATTGATTTTACTTTGTAGATTGACTACTGGTGTGATTTAAAACAGAAATCAAGGAAAATAATGTATGCTTTACAAAGCCCCATTTCAATGTAAAACTCTTGTTATTCCCTATCGACTGAGACGTAGGAACATTACCTAGAGCCAAGTTCAAAGACCAATATCACTAATAATTTTTTTGCAAAAAATCCTGACCGGCGCTCTAGTGTTTTCCCTCCAGTTAGATTTTGACCATGCATAACGCACTAGACCGTCTGTCATTTCGTGTGAATTCTGAGAGGATTCCTACCGTTCGCGCTGCTTGATAGTGTTCATGAAGTTGTCGGTCAATTGTCGATATCTCATGGAAATCGTGATATTTTGAGAAATCCATTGCAAATCGAATACGTTGGGATATTTAACACCTTATTGAGGAATAACTTGGCTCTTGGCCATTCCCTAGAAATGGTAATTCTACAATAAGAAAATCGAACAATACTCTTATCACATCGCTAAGTAAAAAGCTGTACTTTTTGCTTTTAGTTGAACATGTCCTGTTATGCATTCCCAACTGCCACATAGATAATTTAGGTATAATATAACAAAGGTTTCTTAACGTATAGACGTAGTACCCCCAATCAGTTTAAAATATGCATCGAATTTCTCTTCGAGTAGTAATTTTGAACAGTCGTGGAGGCATGTCCCAAAATACAGCAAAGCTATTTATAGATCAGAGGAACAAATCTCATTCTTAACTGGAGTAGCAAATCACATTCTTCAGCGGAGGAACAAATCCCATTCATGACCCGGGAAACCACTCCATTTTTTCTCATTAAAGTGCAAAACAAACCCAATTCTTAACTGTAAATACAAATCTAAACCTAGTTTATCGTAAAGAACCTATTTAAAACCTTTGATGTTTTTCTGTAATTGTAAATATGTCTATACCAATGAGGAATGTCATCCTTTGCTCGTGTACATTACATTAATGTGCTTTGAAAAAGTAATCCATGTGCATGTTATATACAAACTAAAAATATGGTTTTAATTATTTGGTATCATCTATAATCTGTTGGTGATCCAACATCTAGAACAAACATGACACATACGTTCTTAGTCTGTAATCTACTTAATCCAGCATAATTACTATTGTAACAACCAGCAAGAGCGTGATGATTACTGGCACTCAATGTTAGCCTCTGTAAGATCTAGTGTAAGATTAAGGTTGATCCGAAAACTTCTATGCACGCGAATACTCTTATGCATAATGCAATACTACCTTATCATAGCTTAGTTTCGACTGTAAAGTACGCATTATTCTATCAATACATAATGAATAAGGATAATGATATAGATGTGTTTATTGTTCAGCACATTGAGTAAACGCACTGCCTCACACGAAATTCATCATAAAATTTAAGGATGAATCATTGATAATGATCCAGAATAGAAATTGAAATCGTGCCACCGCGTGCATTCTTATTACCTCCTCTTCATTGACTTAATCATGTTTCTACTCGCAGAAAAACTAAACCATCTCACTATTAAAGGTTTGGGACTTTAAACTATAAAATGCAGCTTTTACGTACACGTGTATTAATGATGAAGTATTACAACATTCTATTTACAGTACTTATAATGAGTATTTAATTATGAGTACGTAACTAGTCCAACATATATGGTATCTAACAAAGTATTCTTTTGTTTTCACTTTTGTGAGTGATAATAAAGATTTTTTCAAAAGATTTACTCGAAAAGTGTCCTTTATTTTTACTCTTCTGAGAATAAAGGGATTTAAGATATTAAAAAAAAAATACTTGAAAAGTACCCTTTTGTTTTCATTTTTGTGAGAATTCATACCTTTTCAAAAGACTAATTCAAAAGGTATCATTTAGCTTTCACTCTTGAGAGAAATCGGTCATTTTGAAAAGATTAACGCGAACAGTATTTTAAATGCAATGGAAGTGGTCACCATACAGCTGTTAATATTGCGTTGTCTATATTTGTATTTTAGACACAGCGACAAATGTGACGATCCAGCTGTTCGTCCGCAGCATACATTCCATACGAGAGATATCTATGGTAAGTATTGATTTCATCATGTCTCAGTGTGTTCCGCCGTATAATACATACAACTTTCTAGTAATCTAGTGACCAGAAAACGGCTTTGTCGAAAAATATTTCCATGTCTAAAGATAATGCCATTCATTACAATCTGATCAAGGTCTTTGGATAACTGTTATCAAAACTCTTAGTGTGTCTTGTAGACGTAGACACGAAAATTTATCAACAAATCATCAATTGTTTTAATTATTTAGAATAAAATTGTCAGTCACTTTAAGAATAATGACTATCTTGGTTCTTCCTGTAAATATGATTATTATCTATCCGATATGTAGAACCTCCTCTAATTAGACTCCTCAGGAACCTCATCTAGTCAAAATAACCATCTGTTGATTATATCATAATGGTAGTTTCCTCAATAATTATCGTAATTGCAAACTTGCAAACGTGCAAACGTATCATGATTTTTTTTTTCATTCAGTTGTTAATCGATATTATGGTGCTACTTCTGTTGTCCTCTTCTTTCCTGCTGAGTTTAATTGGTTCATTACAAAAAAACAAAAAACAATAAAAAAAAAAATGTCATGTCGAAATTACGAAAATCAATTCTTATTGATATTTTACGTGTAATAGATAAGACATATACTTTAGTTTAACGGATTATCAGTATTGTTTTAGCAGCAATATTCATTAACAAACGTGGAGGATTCCCTGTTTATTGCATTGAAATGACGATATATCACACAGTGAGAAATATCTATAGAGTAGCATAGCAATAATCCCCGTATCAGATGCATTACTTGTATCTTGTTTTCTATCGACCGACTAAAACACTATCAGCACACATGTCACCGACCTCATTCCCCATGGAACCTGAATCAGTGAACAGTACCTTTCAGTACGAAATTAGAATCAGATACAGTAGAGTCAAACACTGAACAAATACATCTGTTTCGTCCTTCTAGGATTGCTCAGTGACCTTTAAGTCCTATATGTTGAAAATCAAATGCGGACGAAAGAGACGTTAAAATCTATACATGCAGTGCATTAGTCGCATAGTTAAATTAATTTCATGATTTTCATATATCTGTTAATTCCGGAAGTACGTCAAGCACACGTGTCACTGCTCGAATGAATATTAATAGAAATTACAAGAAATCGATTTTGTTTAATAGTAATGTATATAAGTCAAACTGCTATTAATACTAGGCACTACACATGATTTAAGACCATGGAATAAAAACGGTTTATTTTCATAAACATTATCTTCACGAATAAAATCGACTATTTAATTGATACAGAGCACAGATCATGCTCGTTTTACTATTAATAAAAAGACATTTGCATCAAAATTTCCATTTTTACGATTGTAAACAACAGATGTCCTCTTCATCTATCTGCTTCGATGCAACCGTTTATCAATAGTAATACTGATACACTTCAACACAATAGACACTTTGACGTATCTCTAGCAAAGCCTCGTCGATTAATTAGCCCCTCCTCAACAAAAAAGTTACTTCTTGTCCGTTCCCCACAATGACATCCATGATTGCCCTAAAAGGTATTTTTGTCAACACCAGTTATTGATGCACATCACCAGTGCACTTATATGTATCAATTGCTAGTAATTTGATTCATCTTTATTTCATTCCTTCCTTTTTGATAACCTTACCTGTAATTGTGTTCGTTCGGAAGTGTATGGTTATCACTTCTTCGTCCAGTGTCCTTTTCTCACTATTCAACTCGTAACTCCCTTTCTAATCAAAATGCTTCTTTATCTCCAAATACTCTATTTCTTAAAGGTTCAAGTTTTCATTTTGATTCACAGGCGTCCTTTTTAAGTAAATTTGATATTCCATTAAACCTACAAATATCTCACAAAAAAGGGTGTGTGCTTGTCTACTTTATTGATCAGGTTCAGGAGTGCATTAACAGTCTGAATATGCGCCTGCCACCATTTATTTTACAGACATTTTCATCCAATAATGCTTACTTTCATTTTATTTTTTTGTTCAAAACTTTTTTTATATTCCAGTTTCAGTGTTATTTGATATGATTCTATGATATTCTGCCTATTTGATTGATGCGTCTGCTTACTTGCTGTTGTATGGATTGGGATTTCATAGACCATGCATGTTACTCTATTCCTTTTCTAAATTGATAATTCGATTTCTGCCAAGGTTATGAAAAATAAGGGAAAAATAGATAAGCAGTATGTCTCACATATATGCATTGTGTATCCGTTAGAATATTTTTACATGAGTGGAAAACAGTGAAATCAAAGGTAAATATCAAACAGAATTTAAATAGCTACACAAGGAAAGCTGCAAATGATGACGTCATTGTGTTTCAGGACTTTTCTGTGGATATATTTCTACGTCAAAAATGGATTGATCCTCGTCTTGTGTTCACCAATATGACTGACATCACAAGACTCGAGTTGGATCAGAAACTCATTGACAAAGTCTGGGTCCCCGACACAATCTTCACTAACGAGAAAGAGGCCGCTGTCCATTCTATAACAGTACCAAACAAACTCATGCATCTGTACCAGAACGGGACTGTGTTCTACAGCGCAAGGTAGTTATATCACAACTGAACCAGAACGGGACTGTGTTCTACAGCGCAAGGTAGTTATATCACAACTGAACCAGAACGGTAAAATATTCCACAGTTCTCGTAATTATCACATCTGTGCCAGAACGGTGAAGTGTTCTACAGTGCAAGGTGATTATCACAACAATTTACACGTTCTGGTTAGCATTGAATTTGATGGTCAGTCCTATAGAGGGGGAGGAGGTTGTAGGAGTTTGCAGTATCCAGTTTATAAACATATACTGTGGTACCATGATCATTTGATTTAGTAAATATCGAGAAAAATATTATTAGATATAACGAGAACGAATTTCTTTTAGTAACATGACATATCTTCATACTGTGAATTGTATCACATCATTTAGTGATTTTAAGTGATCGTTAGCCAGAGGTTTGAGAGGAATATATGTTTTATCTTTTTAAGGATTGGAATGACATTGAATTGCCATATGGAGCTCCAAAAGTACCCACTTGATTCACAGTTCTGTCCGTTTTACATGGAGAGCTGTAAGTGTTCTTGGTGTACCATTCATTCTAGGGCCTGAACCTAAAACCAAAATTTCCAGAAAAATGAAGAGAACTCTCATACATATATATATATGATAATATATATGATATATTGTGTGTCTCTTGAATAATCTTTACAATTTTTTTTGTCAAGAGATGCAGGTTGACGAGGAAAACATGTCATTTTTTGGTCTCCATCCATCATGATAATTTATTCTTTTCTTTGTGCGATATAAAGACAGTTGTGCTCGATGCTTGATTTTGCCCACAACGAAAATAAATCATTGTGAAATAAAATATTTTTCTTGTTTGTAATATTCCCTACGTATTGTACCCAGCAAAACAATTGTACCAAAGTCCGATAAAGAACATCGGAACCTATCTGAATCGCCAGGGACTGAGGTTTGAGATATTTTGAATCGGCTAATGGGATTGTTTTATAGATATATTTCTGAACTTTCACACACTTCATTTTAAAGATGTTATCACAGGCTCGTTATCATCAGACTTGGTTTATTTCCTTTCAGACGGATACACGACAGAAAACCTTGTATTCCACTGGGATCAAAAGAATGCTTTGGAAATTACTGATGTTGAACTGCCTCAGTTCTTCATAGAATCTGTGTCTTACTTCGACCGATGTGACAAAGACTATGGAGAAGGTATACATAGAGCACATACCTTTGTTCTTTCAAATAAAGGAAATGATAAAAAGGATGTTGATATTGTCATATAAGTTTTTTATATATATTATTCGAATATATTTTGTATTTAAAAGAAACAGCAGACTATTTTTTCGTTATGAAAGTGGTAACCAGTGGATACATTGAAAGTTGTTTTTTTTTGTTTTTTTGTTTTTTTTTTGCATATCTATATTTCAGTTTAAACATGTGTTTTCTTCCGTCTGCATTCATTTACTGGATGTTCCTAATAATTAGCATGAGTTGGTTTATTATTTTAACTTCGTAAGACCTTTTTTTAAAAATATATCATTTGGTTTTGATCTAGCTGGTATTTTCACGTGTTTGGAGGCTGGAGTTCGGTTGAAAAGGAACACCGGGTATTACGTCATTCAAGTATTCGTACCCAGTATCCTTATTGTAATTCTCTCTTGGGTCTCGTTTTGGATCGACATTGATTCGACACCAGCCAGAATATCATTGGGTGTTCTCACTGTGCTCACCATGACAACGCAGAGTTCAGGTGCACGCTCCCAGCTACCACGTGTGTCGTATGTAAAAGCTATTGACGTATGGATGGCCACGTGTCTCTTCTTCGTTTTTGGAGCATTAATAGAATTCGCTTGTGCTAATGTGACATTCAGAGGGAAAAAGAAGGTGAATGGTCTCCACGCGACGGCTCAAGAGAGTGGCGTAAGTATTGCCTATGTTCTATAATGTCTATAGTGTATTAAGCTTTGGCGAATTAAAATGATATGACTATATTTATCAAGTACACACTAAAATTACTTTATTCTTCTCCCATACTTTAAACAATTGTTAATAAAGGTAATATAGGCAGATATATATTGTGGATGTGATAGCCAGGATACATAGAAACAGTTAAATATGTGGTTATCGACCTTTTTTATACAAGTTTACAAAAGGATTGCATTGAGACTGACGAGTAATAGTTTCTTTACATAACATGGTGTCCGGACATATCACAGGTCACTCGTCAAATTGAAAGTATGTCACGGTTAAAACTTTTCACACTCTATGCCCTAAGAATTTCTGACGAGTCCTTAAAAAGATGAAATAGTTATATCATGCAATTTTATTTCATTGTTTGGCTCCACTCTATCAAACTCTAAATCTCTATTAAAGGCTTTTCCCCCCTTGTGTATCTTTTGTACAGCAATCGCTGTAGTGTACTGCTTGTCGTTAAACACGAAACATACACATTTAATCGTTTCCTGAAATCACAGTTAATGCGTTTAGAATGTTCGTGTTAATCGCTGACACAAAATTGATACCAAACTGTTTGCAGACAGATTTTAGAGAAGTTTATATCTGCAAGCATAATTGAATAAGTTACCACACAACCCGCTTTCTTTTTCAATGAGATAAACTTGTTAAAATATATCAGATACGCCTGTCTAACCACCAATTGAATAACTAAATTGCAGTTACGCTTCAGTTAAAATATATTTTTTGAAACCTTTATACGTGTACATTCATTTCTGTAATTATATACGTAGACTTGTTTAATAATTCAAATACCGTTAACTGGTTAGAAAACACCTTGCTAAGTAAATGTCTTGTTTGACATCGATCATTTGCATAAAAGCGTTATTCTTTTTATTTTCAGGATGGTGCACCAAATAAATCTAAACTCCGATTTTTTAAGAAATGTGACGACCCGAAGAGACGAGCTCGATATATCGACAAATTTTCCCGGGTCCTGTTTCCTCTCGCTTTTATCATTTTTAATTTGATATTTTGGATGTATTATTCCTTCGCACCAGACGATAATCAACGTATTACATAAACGGTTTTTGTTTTGTTTTGTTTTTTGTTTTTGTTTTTTTTTTTTTTATCTTTTTCCTTCCTGTTTACCCAATTATCTGCAGGTTATAAGAATTGTAAAGCACGATTTACCATTCCAGAGGATATGTCAACATTTGTATAAATTTGTTGCTAAGCTACCAAGCTTTCAATTTTTTAAGAAGGAAATTGATATGCATAGTTTTTTTCAATAATTGATAGATACTGTATGGCTGGTTATTTTCGCGAGTCAAAACATTTCGCGATTTTCTATTTAAAAGATCTCGAATAACATTTTAACGAATTAAAATATCGCACACTTGATGTGAAAGGACGTTTACGCACAATTTGTCTCATTTTCGCGATCTTTTTAATAAACCGCGAAAAATGGAAAATATCATCCCCGTAAAATAACCTGCTATACGGTATAATGGTTACTTTCGGAGCAGTTCTTTTGTTTTAAGATGCATACAGTGATTACTTGCTTATTTCAAAACAAAATGTGATAGACGGTCTCTATGTTATTTTCTGTAGAGACAATATATGCGTTAAGAAAATGACTTAGGGATTTCCAATATATCTGCCATTTAGTTACAAGAACCATACGGCATCAACAGTAGGTAATGTCCATTGTTTGTCGCGCTTTTCATGTTTTTGCATTTCAATGTGTGTGTAACACGATCGTCAAACGTGCGTGGTTTTAATTCTGAAATTAGGATATGTTCTATTTTAAAGATTTTCTTTTTAGCTTTTTTTTATAAGTGATAATCCATAAAATTCAACATAAATATTTGATTTAACGTCTTTCATTCATGTTACCTACCTTTTCAAAGTGTTACTTCTGAAGTAAATTTCAAATTGTCAATATGCTTACAGTATTAATGTTATGCTGTTTGACAGCTTGTATTTGTGAATATATGATGAGTTGCTTGCTAAATGTTTAACATTTTTATACCTGTTGTATCTTTTCACCGCTATTTGTGTACTTTGATATCACCTGGTACAGGTACATTTGATACTTGTTTAATGATGTTAAAAAGCTTCTTATATGATAAGATATAACATCAGCCCTTCCAAATGATCTTGAGAAACTTGCAACTTATTTAAATGAATCTTGTTTTGTCCAATTTGTATATTAAATTTAATTTTCTTCAAAAGAATGAACGTTTTAATAAACTTTTAAGATAGTAATATATTGCAGGTTGATTTTGTTGTTGTTTTCATTCTTGGTTTTATTATATACAACACAACTTATATGAACGATAATTCTTTATCATGTTCGTCACTTTCACCTTTACCGAGTGTGTAATGTTATTGGTTTACATCATGTATGTCGCTAATTATATTTATCGTGTGTATTGGTCATGTTACGAAGGAAAACGCATGAAAGATATATCTACTCATAACAACATCCAAAGCAAAAACAGAGCACAAAAAATGTACCAACATGGTATTATAATCATAATTTAAACTCAGCTTCCATATTACTAGAGCAAAATATGAACAAAAGAAAGATTAACATGACGACTCCTGAAAAAGTACACGAAGAATAAGACCAGGTGCTCCGGAAGAGTAAAAGTCTTCTGCTTCATCGACGACATCGGCCAGGTAAACCCTGGTCAATCCAAGTACATACTGTCAGGTTCTCAATTGAGAACAAGATTTACAAAACCGGAACCAACAGCCAAATAACAAGCATCACGCAAATACATAAAGTATCGCATATTAAATGCAAGATACTTGAACTGGCGATCTACGATATATCAGAAAATGTATATCGAGATTTCCTAATGGAAAATTAAAACAAAAAACTAGACGTTCAACCTTGTTAAATTTATCTGCTTGTTTGAACTCGACGACTGTCCTTAAATTTATCTTAAAAAACACACCCGAAAAAATATTAAAAAGGTGCGAAGACATCAGAAGTGATACAGAGATACTTTTCTGGAATAATGAATAAGTTCATGTTACAAAACTTCATCGGGATATATCACTGTAATAGATATTCAAGCATCTTCATGTTTTGTCTGGTACCTGTATGGCGATATTTTGAGGTGGTCCTTGAAATAAGTCTTTTATATTTATCCTTTCTTGTTTGCAGTCAGTATACATAGTATTTTAATCACTAATATTAACTGATTTTAATATGTATTTCGTCATATCAAATTATTATCATTGTACAAGAGAATGAACAGGCTCGAAAGTCAAATTGTCATTTAAAGTTAAGAATGCGGACCTCCTCCGTTTACACTGGACTACTATACACGTATCCAAGTATATTACTATGTATCCTTCTTGAATTATCAAAGGCAGAGATATTGGATATTTCGTTGCTAATTTCTTGAAAAGTGGAATTGGATATTAATTTTAACAAACTTCAAAAAACAAACACCTTTTCTCTACGAACATTTGATCTTTCGGCTTTGTACACTACTATACCTTTTTTAAAGACAAGTGAACAGCGTATTTCATGAACAGATCCTGTATATATCAAGACAAGGAGAAGTATGAAAATTATCAAATTTCTGGTTCAAAAATATCTACTTTGGAATGAGGCTTGGTGGTAAGATTTTCAAAAAGACTAATGAAATTCTCATAGAACTCAATATTGTCCCTCTCTGGACTAAAAAGCTTATAAAATCATCACAAAGACCCCGCTAAGTCATATAAGATTAACAAAAACAAAAACCACAAAAACAAGACAAATTTAGATAAATCATAAGAAACATTAGGATTTTGTGTTGCTATTATGTTTTTATATATTACAAGAAATTTATTAACTATGTCCATCAAATATTCATTAAAAAATACCCTGGAAAATGAAAGATACGATAGACCGTATGATGTTTTCTATTTTCTTATCGTGAATTTTCCGTTTCTAGATAGTAATAACCCGCCAGAAAGTAATGGGACACGTTGTATTTCCTGTTTTGGGAACGTGACATTACTTACTTTAATTTGCCAACATGATGTACATGATGGATATTGTCAGTGAACCAACAGAGACTTGCCTTTCCTTTTCTGTGAACAAATGTAGCACCAGGTATTAAATGATACTATACTGATGCCTACGAATTTGAAAGTTCAAAATCCAAAATTTCTTAAAATCGGATTAAATGCAATTTAAAATTCAATAAACGAAATTTTGCCAAGCTTATTTCATAATGTAAGTGACGGTAAAAATTGCCATGCGTGTTGACGTTGATTGATAAAAACACTCAGCGTATTCACAGTCCTAAAATGAGGGAGATAATATCCCCAAGACTCATTGTGCTTCTGAAATATCAGACAATGCAACACGATTTCTTGTTTTGAATTAAATAATTTAAACGAAATGCGTTGCTGTCTCGAGAGATCAGCGATGGTATAACTTTAACGGGATGTTTATACAATGATCCAATGCTTTTTTCCAAATGTCACTAAGACCCATCAGCATAGAATTCGTTTTGATTATCATAACGACTTAACACGTGCAAACTCAACTGTGTTTTGAAACGTAATACTGTAATGGGTTAGATCAGAAAGAGATTATCCCTGGACTGATTGTGTCGGCCTTGAATTATAGTGAAAATAATGAGACTTTAGAGATAGAAATTGTTATGCGTTAATTGAAATTTTGTATCGATCGTTACTAGTGAAAGTATAAAAAAAAATTGTATATTTAACCAATCATTCGATCTTAATAGCTAATAATTGTGCTAAATCGGCGGCTAGATGAGAGCTGCAATATGATATTGATATGCACTGTACGGTGAAATGGGATGTATTGGAAAGAAATTGATGTGATGAGTTGTGCAGGATGATTTATTTAGTTTTCAAAATAAGTTTTTTTTTAATGTGTCAGAAAATATGCTTCAGAGAACCTCAGAGGCACATTTCATGTATATCAAAATCGATTATTATTTGGAATTTCCCTGTAAAGGGTAAGTAAAAAAAATACTCCAAAGTTTACAACATGCTTGTTTCAAAGTCTGTACAATAGACAGTCTGTCTAGAGCATAGAATATGTCAATGTAAGTTTAGAATCAGATACAGTATAGTCAAATAATGGAAGAGACTGCATAATACAGCTTAGTATAAGACTGAACTATTAAGGAAAATTTTTGAAATCTGGAATTGAGGCGCTAATGAGAAGAGTTAAAATTAATCTTCTAATCACATTTATTAAGGATTCAGAAAATTTAACCGATGAAATAATTGATAAACATCTAAAAAAAAAAAAAAATAGCAGGAAATTTTATACAAATTTAACCCTCTATTCTCAACAGAAAACTACACATTGATCTATTAACACCTTGACGTCTTATTTTTACCAGACAACACTGCATCAGTGCGTGCTAGCTCATCGCTCCTCCTTCATGTGTGTAATTGATGTTTCTGCGGGTTATTTGGTCCGGATTCTTTTACGAGTGTAATTTCGCACGCGGAATGATTTAGGTGATCCAGGAATGCTGGATTACACGGATTGTTTTTTTTATAATTGATAAAGTTTCTGACGTTGTAAGTAAAATACACAGATGTGGGACCGCGGGTATTGATCTTTGTGACGAACAGATGGTCCAAGTCTGTATTTACACATACATAATACTATTAAACGAGTTTAGCCATAATGAAGACGGATGTGATCGTTTCACCAGAAGTGTTGTGGACATAGGACAAGCCAGCATAATTTGTTCACTTATCTCTAAAGAACAGAAATGTAGCTCCTGGTTTATCGATTGTCCATAATGAGTAATGAGTACTTCTGTCGCCGTTGACCATGTGCGGCAGACATGCCCAATATTATTTGTAGCAGTACAATTCGTGTGGGAAAATCTTCCTCCTAGCAATCAAAGTGTGGATCAAATAAAACCACTAGTTTAAGGTTATTACTGATTTAGAAATTCCTTAGACCTAGGGTCTGATGACATCAGTCTGAGATAAGTAGACCAGGGGACGTAAATCCTACATACTGCCTTAACAAGATTGTCTTTGTTGTAGAAATATGAAAACGATGCTTCAGTATCACACTGTTAATATTTAACGTATTTGAGTTTTTTTTTTAAATATACATATCGCCGTTTTAGATTTTTTCCCAAACAGATACAGATAAAATTTTATTTTTATGGTTTAGCATTTGAAATTTGAAATATTTAATTAAGAAGATTGTCAAGGATGTTTCATGAAAAACAAACATTTTTTTTTTCTTTTAAAGTAAAGGTTTGTATTCCTTTAGTTTGTCAAATGCATGGATATTAGATATGCATATATCACATGCAAAAATACAAATAACATCAAAACAAGTATTTGCTGTTATCATTTAACTATTTTAAAATGTGGCGGAATATCTCTACCATCGAAGATTGAATTCTGGAAGTATATGTTTTGTTTTCCATCTGATTAGTTCAGCTACAATGTCATAACAGAGTAAAGTAACAAAGAACTAGTATAAACCTTATTTATTTTCTTCGCAAGGAATTATTTTTCATTTTGCCTACTATATATATACTATAACGTTATTTCCTGGTACATAATACTGATGTGAAAATGTTTCATGTGTTATTTGGGCCAGTATCTTTCCTTGTATTAATGCCAGCACACTGCTAACACCTGCCATGTAGCTACTTAAGCTATATTCTTTGAAAAAAAGAATATGTTTTTCTCGTTATCAAAAGGAATGAAGATATTTCCTTTGTCATTACCAGTTGTAAGTCTGACTTCAAAGAATGTCGTCTCTACTAATTAGGCGTTACTAAACAACACCTGTGTCTATATTGACCTTGCTACAACGCGTATTTTTAATATATATTTTTCTCTCTTTTGGCCACTTCGGCGTTCCTTCTCATTGCCAATAACTATTAATCTGTAGGTTAGACGGACAGTTCAACATGTGTTTATTCCCTCAAGAACGTATAATATAATCAATTATACATTCCTGACACTGTTGGGGTAAGCTGGAGTGCTTCTATTAGAACATCCGGTAATTACTTCCCCGATTTGCTACCATTAAAGACTGAATTTTGTGGAAAGTTGTAATGATATTTACTTTCAACATCACCCATTAATGTATATTTATATTTCCAATGTCGACCAATGTTCTCAGCCCCATATATTTTGAATCGTGTAACAAGTTATTCGATATCATGGCGTCTTTTGGAGTTGCAATACATACGGAAATAGAATTGCATTCATCTACTACAAAACAAGAACAACACTACT